GGCCATGATGGAAAGGACAGTCAGAGATGCCTCCTTATACTTTTCTGTCTTTGGAGTATAGGCACAACTGACCAGCCTTAACATTAAAATAGAGATCGTAAGACTGAAAAAAAAGATTCTTCATAGCAATAAGATACCAAACCCCAACCTGACTCTGGTATAGCATCACATGACAGATAACAAGCCCTGAAGGAAATCAAAATATTTTACCCCAAAATATATTTTCTTTGTCATAGTTTGAAATGGCTCTACAAAGCCATCTTTTGAGGGAACATTTGCATGCTATCAAAAATGTTCTTCTCTTACAACAACAGACCCCAAACTTTTTGACACCAGGGACCAGTTTCATGGAAGACAACTTTTCCATGGACTGGGCGGGTAAGGGGGATATGGTTTTAGGATGAAACTGTTCTACCTCCGATCATCAGGCATTAGTTAAATTCTCATAAGGAGCATATAACCTAGATCCCTCACATGTGCAGTTCACAATAGGGCTCACATACCTATGAGAATCTAATACCACCACTGATCTAACAGGAGGCAGAGCTCAGAGTGTAATGCTAGCTCACCTGCTGCTCACCTCCTACTGTGTGGCCTGGTTCCTAACGGGCACAGACTGGTACCAGTCTGCAGCCCAGGAGTTGAGGACCCCTGTCTTAGCTCTCATCCAGAGTCTGACACCTTTTAAAGCCTCATAAGAGATATTTAGCATCTATTCTCTCTGAAGCCTGTTACTAAGAGGCTTCATCTATACAACAAGAACCTTGGCTTCCATAGCCCCCCTTATCTTAACTCAAGCATTTATTTATGCTGATTTCAACTCTTCAGGCAAAACAACCGATTGCCAATCAGTTTGAATTCACCTATAGCCTGAAACCCCCTCCCTAAACAGTTATACATTTTGAGGCCTAAATATATAAAACCAAGCTGTAACCTAACTACCTTTGGCACAAGTTCTCAGGACCTCCTGATGCTATGTTATGGGCCGTGGTCACTCATATTTGGTTCTGAATAAACCTCTTTAAATATTTTACAGAATTTGGCTCTTTCATCAGCAATGGGAAAGGAGGTCAGACATACCTCATTATACCCACCTCTTTTTGGAGTTTAGGCACACTAACTGACCAGCATTAATGTTATCATAGAGATCACGGCCAGGTGAGGTGGCTACTGCCTGTAGCCCCAACACTTTGGAAGGCTGAGGCAGGAAGATAACTTAAGCCCAGGAGTTCAAGACCAGCCTGCACAACAGTGTGAAAACTCGACTCTACAAAAAATACAAAAACTAGCCAGGCATGGTGGTGCATGCCTGTAGTCCCAGCTACTCAGGAGGCTGAGATAAGAGGATCGCTTGAGCCCAGGAGGTTGAGGCTGCGGTGAGCTGAGATCACATCACTGCATTCCAGCCTGGGTGACAGAGTGAGACTCTGTCTCAAGTAAAGAAAAGAAAAAAAGAGATCACATGACTGGCAAAATAGACTCTTTGGGGCAATAAAATACCAAACTATGGCTAGGTGTTGTGGCCCATGCCTGTAATCCCAGGACTTCTGAAGCAGCGTTGTTTGTGTGGAGTAATACCCAAGGTTCATTGTCTCATGCCAAGCAAATCAAAGACACGAACACACAAGAAGTGTGTTTAAGAGAGGAAAGTTTAATAGGCAAAAGTGAAAAGCTCTCCCCTGCAGAGGGAAGGGGGTTCTGAACAGATCTCTCCAATTTGGGGTGAGTTGAGGTTGGTTTTATGGATGAGCTTAAGGAGCTGGTGTCTGATTTACTTAGGGCCAAGAGGATTGGTTGGACCAGATGTGCCTTTTACAAAGCACTAGAAGAGGCTGGCCATCCCACCCTCATCTCTTATTATGTAAATGGGTTTTACCCTGGCCAGTGCCATGTTGCTTGCACACGTGGCAGCAAAGTAAAGGGAAGAGGAAACCTCCATGCTGAATATACCTGGCTTCCAGGTATCCCTTTTCTATTGGCACAGCTGCTGGCATTTACCTATGCAAGCTTCCAACTTGCTTATCTATGCTCGCAGCTTGATTGTTCAGGCTGCTTTTTGTTAGAAATGATTTGGGGACTACTTTTTATTAAAAGAAAAACCTTACCAAGGACTCCCTAACCCTGGCTAACTGTCTAAATAATTTCTTTTTAGCTCCTGTAGCGCTTTGGGAGGCCGAGGTGGGAGGATCATTTGAGACCAGGAGTTTGACACCAGCCTGGGCCACATAACAAGACCCTGTCTCTACGTTTTATATTTATACATATTGTTAAAAAATATACCAAATTATAAACAAGACCTAGGCCATGCAAGACATAGGTTATGTCACACCCTATAGATTGTAAAATCTTGTTAAATGAGTTTTTTTTTATTAACCCGGTATAATGTGGCTTACCTTCCAACCTGACACTGGTATAGCATCACACGATGGAAGGCAAACCCTGAAGGAAATAAAAATATTTTATGTCAGCCAGGCACGGTGGCTCACACCTGTAATCCCAGAACTTTGGGAGGCCAAGGCAGGCAGATCATTTGAGGTCAGGAGTTTGAGACCAGCCTGGCCAATATTGTGAAACTCCGTCTCTACTGAAAATACAAAAAGTTAGCCGGGTGTGGCAGTGCATGCCTATAATCTCAGCTACTCAGGAGGCTGAGGCAGGAGAATCGCTTGAACCTGGGAGACAGAGGTTGCAGTGAGCTGAGATCGCACCACTGCACCACAGCCTAGATGACAGAGCAAGGCTCCAACTCAAAAAACAAACAAACAAACAAAATACAAAAATTAGGTGTGGTGGTGCATGCCTGTAATTCCAGCAGCTCTGGAGGCTGAGGCAGGAGAACTGCTTGAACCCAGGAGGTGGAGGTTGCAGTGAGCTGAGATGGTGCTATACTCCAGTTTGGGTGACAGAGCAAGACTCTGTCTCAAAAAAAAAAAAAAAAAAATCCCAAAATATATTTCTTTGACATATTTTGAAATGGCCCTACAAAACTGTCTTTTGTAACAGAAATTTGCATCTGCAGAGAATTTCCTTTAATGCAGCCAGAATTTCCTTTTCTAGGCCTTTCCCAGATTTAGGAAAGATTGATTCTGATACTTAAATTTTAAATTTCCAAAAAGAGACATGTGGTGACAAAGTACCATCTATTCTCTCTCTCTCTTTTTTTTTTTGAGATGAAGTCTCACTCTGTCACCCAGGCCGGAGTGCAGTGCATGATCTTGGCTCACTATGACCTCCGTATCCTGGGTTCAATCAATTCTTGTGCCTCAGCCTCCCAAGTAGCTGGGGTTACAGGCGCATGCCACAACGCCCGGCTAATTTTTGTATTTTTAGTAGACATAGTGTTTCAACATTTTGGTCAGGCTGATCTCAAACTCCTGACCTCAGTGATCCACCTGCCTTGGCCTCACAGAGTGTTGGGATTACAGGCGTGAGCCACAGTGCCAAGCCCATTTATTCTCTGAGGCTGCCACTCACAAAGTTTCATCTATGAAACCAGGACCTTGAACCCCACAACTCCCTTATCTTAGTTCAAGCATTCTTTTCTACTGACTTCAAGTCTTTAGAAAAAGCTTAACTCTCAAGCAATTGTCAGCTAAAGAATCCCTAAACCACCCTTTGAGATATCCGCCTTTTTGGGTCTAACCAATGTATGCCTTCCATGTACTGATTTATGTCTTTGCCTGTAACTTCCGTCTCCCTAAAATGTAAAAAAAACAAACTATAACCCAACTGCCTCAGGATCACTTACTCAAGGCTTTTTGGTTTTGTGTTTTCTCTCTGGGCCATGGTCACTCACACTGGCTCAGAATAAACCTCTTTAAAATAGTTTACAGAGTTTGGTTTCTCTGCTAACAGTCGGACACATGCTACAAAGGCAAGCTGTGAAAATATTATACATAGCATAAGAAGATAGTGAGCTAGGAGTGCCGGCTCATGCCTGTAATCCCAGCACTTTGGGAGGCCGAGGCAGGTTGATCACCAGCTGAGGACTTCAAGACCAGCCTGGCCCAGATGGTAAAACCCCATCTCTACTGAAAATACAAAAATTAGCCAGACGTGGTGGCAGATGCCTGTAATCCCAGCTCCTCGGAAAGCTGAGGCAGGAGACTAGCTTGAACCCGGGTGGCAGAAATTGCAGTGAGCCGAGATCACGCCACTGCACTCCAGCCTGGGAAACAGAGTGAGATTCATGAGACTCCGTTTCAAAAAAAAAAAAAAAAAAAAAAGGGCACGAAAGAAGCTAGTCACCAAAACGTTGACATTATACTTAATGAAAGAAACCAGTCACACTGTATGATTTCATTTATATCAAATGTGCGAATTGGCAAGGCTATACAGACAGAAAGTATACTAGCAATTGTCTAGGACTTAGGGCAGAATGGACATGGTGAATGTAGAGTGACTGCTACTGAATGCAGGATTTTTCTTTGGAGTGATGAAAATATTCTAAAATTAGATCACAGTAATAGATGCACAGTTCTGTCAACAACAACAACAAAAAACCTTAATGTTACACCTTATTTTATTTATGTTTAGGTCCGTTGTCCTGCTCTGTCTCCCAGGCTGGAGTGCAGTGGTGCATGTCAGCTCACTGTACCCTGGCAGGGCCTTGAGGCGACGGGGACTACAGGCGAATGCCACTATGCTTGACTTTAATTTTTTAGCTTTAAAGGGGCAAATTTTACATGGTATATGAATAGACATTTATCAAGAAAGCTGTTTTTTGGTTTGTTTTGCTTTTCTTTTTGGCAGAACCTCCTGAAGTGGCAGGTCACTGAAAAAATAAATAATAATAATAGTTGAAAAAAAAAAAAAAAAAAAAGAACTGAAGCTTATCCAAACCCACTAACCACAAGGCTGCAGAGACCGCATGTTGGGGCGGAAGGGGCCGGGAGCTGGCGGGAAATCCTGACATGCCAAGGAAAGCCTCCATAACTTCCTAATTGAGAGAGAACAATCAGATGCATTGCTGTGACCCTCCCGCCCCACCCATCCCTTACCTCGCTCCAAAGCACTCCAGAAACGACAGAGAAAACTGACGAGAAAAGACGCCAAGTCCCGAGACGCTCACCGTCCACAACCGGAACGCGGAAGCAAAGGAGCCATCTTTGTTATGGGAAGTACGAGGTTCAAAGGAAGTCACCGGAGCCATCCTTACTGCTGGCAGAGAAGGGCAATGCAAGCCAGTCGCGGCCATGTTGACTGCGGGCCTTGGCCTGTCAATGAAGCTTGCCAGCTGTGGCTATTTTGGGCAATTTCTTTCTTTTTTTTTTTTTTTTTTTTTTTTAAGATGGGGTTTCACCATGTTGGTCAGGCTGGTCTTGAACTCCCGACCTCAGGTGATCCACCCACCTTGGCCTCCAAAGTGCTTGGATTACAGGCGTGAGCCACCACGCCCAACCAGTAAAGTATTTATCTTAAGTCCAGGACTCCTAATTTATGGGTTATTATTACAATGTAGGCATCTATAGGAGGCTATGAGTATACATTACTCTTTCAAGAAATGGTGAAATGGGAAAAAAAAAAAAAAAAGAAAATGGTTAAATGGGAAAATAGCCCTCAGTCTTGTTAAAGTTTATGGGAGGCCATTGTTTTGGTCTGACCTCCTGCACTAGGCCCCAGCAGGCCAGACCAAATCAGAACTGAGTTACTTGTGCTAAGTGCCACGTAATCAAACTGAACTTGGAATCAAAGTCAATTTCCAGAAAACAGAAGATTCCAGTCAATCCGAGTAAATGTGAAACCCCATCTTAATTTAAAAATAATTAATTAATTAATTTTTTAAAAAAAGACAAATATTTTACCTATACACTACTTTCTTTTCCTTTTTTTTTTTTTTTTTTTTTTTGTCTTGAGATGGAGTCTTACTCTGTGGCCCAGGCTGGAGTGTAGTGGTGTGATCTCGGCTCACTGCAACCTCCGCCTCCTGGGTTCCAGTGATTCTCCTGCCTCAGCCTCCTGAATAGCTGGGATTACAGGTGCCCAACACCACGTCCAGCTAATTTTTCTATTTTTAGTAGAGGTGGGGTTTCACCACGTTGGTCAGGCTGGTCTTGAGCTCCTGACCTGAGGTGATCTGCCTGCCTCAGCCTCCCAAAGTGTTGGGATTACAGGCGTGAGCCAACACGCCCAGGCTTTCTTTTCCTTAAATACTGCATGCTTGCCTTCTTTTAATTCCGAGCTTTTCTCCCCATGCTATTTCTTCCCTTACAAACACTCTACTCTCCTCTTCTTTGATCTTTATGCTCTTTGTATCTCTGCTTTAGCAAATTCTTCCTCCAGGAACCTTCTCTGACCTGTCTAAAATGAGTTAGTTGTCCCTTGCAGGAATGCCCACTTTCCTGTTTACCCAGATGACCCTAAACACCTTTGTCCTTTCTGCTCTTCCCACCAAACTGTAAGTATCTCAAAGGCAAAGACCCTTTTTCTCTTTTTCTGCTTGTATTTCAGACCCCAGCTCAGTGACTCACATGTAAGTACTCAGAAATCATTGTTATATGCATGAATAAATAAGTCACAACCCAGGTCTCCCCTGTTCCCCACTCCTCATTCACACCCCACTCAACCTTATACTCTCCAGGAAGTCTCAGAAACATGGCTTTTTCATGGCTTGTTTTCAGTGAAACAAACCTTAAAGCCTTTTCTGGTGTTACCTTTGCTTGAAAAAAAAGTCTGGGTATAAATTAACTCTTATTTATTCTGCTGTGGTTTTTCTGAAATGAGGCTTATCTCTCGGTGGGCTTCTGATGCAAATTTCTGAAGTCGATGGAGACTTTCTTTGCCATATAAGTGTAACCCCCCAGTGGGTTCTTCTTGCATGCTGCCTAGACAGAGCTGATTTATCAAGGCATGGGAATTGCAATAGAGAAAGAGTTTAATGGATGCAGAGCCCGCTACATGGGAAACCATAGTTTTATTATTACATCAGTTACCCTGAAACTCAGCGACCAGGTTTGGTTTTTTGTTTGTTTGTTTTCTGAGATGAAGTCTCGCTCTGTCACCCAGGCTGGAGTGCAGTGGTGCAATCTTGGCTCACCACAAAAAGCGATTCTCCTGCCTCAGTCTCCTGAGTAGCTGGGATTACAGGCGTGTGCCACCACACCCGGCTAATTTTTGTATTTTTAGTAAAGAAGGGGTTTCACCACGTTGGTCAGGCTGATCTTGAACTCCTGACCTCATGATCTGCCCACCTTGGCCTCCCAAAGTGCTGGGATTATAGGCGTGAGCCACTGTGCCCAGCAGGGATTGGGTTTTTTAAGGATAATTTGATGCGTAGGGGATCTGAAAGTGTGGAGTGCTGATTGGTCAGGTTGGAGATGAAATCATAGGGAGTCAAAGCTGTCCTCTTGCACTAAGGCAGTTCCTGGGTGGGGGCCACAAGACCAGATGAGCCAGTTTATTGATCTGGGTGATGCCAGCTAATCCGTCAAGTGCAGGGTCTGCAAAATATCTCAAGCACAAGTCTTAGTGTGTTGTTGTTGTTGTTATTGTTGAGATGGAGTCTTGCTTTGTTACCCAGGTTGGAGTGCACTGGTGCTATCTTGGCTCACTGCAACCTCCGCCTCATGGGTTCAAGTGATTCTCACGCCTCAGTCTTCCACACCTGACTAATTTTTGTATTTTTAGTAGAGATGGGGTTTTACCAGGTTGGCCATGCTGGTCTTGAACTCCCGACCTAAAGTGATCTGTCCACTTAGGCCTCCCAAAGTGCTGGAATTACAGGTTTGAGCCACTTCGCCACACCTGATCTTAGGTTTTACAATAGTGATGTTATCCCCAGGAGCAATTTGAAGAGGTTCAGACTCTTGTACCTCCAGCTGCATGAATCATAAACCATAATTTCTAACCTTGAGGCTTACTTACTAGTCCTGCAAAGGCATTCTAGTCCCCAGGAAGCGGAGTTGTTTTGGGGAAGGATTAACGTCTTTATTTCAAAGTAAAGCTATAAACTCCCAAAGTTAGTGCATCCTATGCCCAGGAATGAACAAGGACATCTTGGAGGTTAGAAGCAAGATGGAGTCATTTAGGTCAAATCTCTTTCACTGTCATAATTTTCTCAGTTGTAATTTTTGCAAAGGCAATTTCATAAGCATGCCTGCGACCATGCTGTCTTACCACTTTTAGTTAGTCCGTGCATAAGAAATGAAAACTAATTGAACTAAGCATCAAAACAAGATTTTACCTCTGCAGAGAAAACAAAATAAAGGTTATTGCATTCCCAAAGTAAAGTATAAATGGTTTTAGATTCCCTTAGGTTTTGCCATTGATTATATAACAACTACATAAATTGGGTTAGGCCACAGTTTTATGAAGTGCTTCATATTTTGTTGATTTTCTGCCATTAGCTGAGCCAGACACTTCAGCCAAATCACTTTCAATAGAAAAAAAGTCAGTTTAGTTGAAAGACCAAAATAGCCCTTTCAAAGTAGGATGAGGTTCTTTGCCATTATCTTATCTCTCTTTGCCATTCTGAACTTTGATCTAATTACTTTGTCATCTGGGGACTTGGCTTTAAGAAAGGGGAAAGGAAACATCACAAAAGTTCAAGGGTTAAGTATAATTAATTATTAATGAATCTCAAGGCATTTTTTTTTCTTTTTTGAGACAGGGTCTGGCTCTGTTGCTGAAGTTGGAGCGCAATGGTACAATCTTGGCTCACTGCTACCTCCATTTCCTGCACTTAAGCCATCCTTCCATTTAGCCTTCCGAGTAGTGAGGACTATAGGTGCCCACCACCACATCCAGCTAATTTTTGTATTTTATGTAGAGATGGGGTTATACTGATGATGGTGGCTCATGCCTGTAATCCTAGCACTTTGGGAGGCAGAGGCAGGTGGAAAACTTAAGGTCAGGAATTTGAGACCAGCCTGGCCAACATGGTGAAACCACATTTCTACTAAAAATACAAAAATTAGTGGGGCGTGGTGGCGGAAGCCCACAGTCCCAGCTACTTGGGAGGCTGAGGCAGAAGAATCGCTTGAACCTGGGAGGTGAGATTGCGCCACTGCACTCCAGCCTGGGCAGCAGAGTGAGACGCTGTCTCAAAAAAAAAGGAAAGAAAGAAAGAGAGAAAGAGACGAGAAGGAGAGAGAAGGAAGGAGAGAGAGAGGAGAGAGAGAGAGAGAGAGAGAGAAAGAAAGAAGGAAAGAAAGAAGGAAGGAAGGAAAGAAAGAAAAAGACATCTTAGTGCTTTTTCAATCATGCAGTAGTCTAAAGGCATAATTAAGCAGTAAGTTGACAGCCAAGGGAAAAATATGTCAGATAGACTGCAAACTACCTGTTTTTTTTTATGTTTGTCTGTTTTTTGAGATGGAGTCTCACTCTGTCGCGCAGGCTGGAATGCATTGGCACAATCTTGGCTCACTGCAACCTCTGCCTCCTTGGTTCAAGCTATTCTTGGTTTAAGCGATTCCTCCTGAGTAGCTGGGATTACAGGCGCATGCCACCATTCTCTGCTAATTTTTATATTTTTAGTAGAGACAGGGTTTCACCACGTTGGCTAGGCTAGTCTCAAACTCCTGACCTCAACTGATTTGCCTGCCTCAGCCTCTCAAAGCGCTGGGATTACAGGCGTGAGCCATTGCGCCCTCTCCAGCACTTGCACAGTGTCTCACTCAGTAACTTCCTGTACACTTATAATGAACATAAATGAAGCTGTCCTCGCAAGGTTAAGAATAATTCTGGGCTAGGCATGGTGGCTCATGCCTGTAACACTAACACTGGAGGCCAAGTATTTGAAGCCAGGAGTTCAAGACGAGCCTGGGCATTTTTGTAGAGACAATCATCTCTAAAAAAACTGAAAAAAAAAAAAAAAAAAAATAGCTGGGCACAGTGGTGTGTGCCTGTAGTCCCAGCTAATTGGGAGACTGAGGCAAGAGATCACTTGAGCCTAGGCGGTCAAGGCTACAGTGAGCTATGCGTGCACCACTGCATCCAGCCTGGGTGAAAGAATGAGGCCCTGTCTCTGAAAAAAAAAAACAGAGTTCTGGACAGATGTATAGTTACAATAATTATGCATTAATCACTAGATACTGACCATTTGCATCCCCGTTGTTCTTACAGATAGGATTTCTGAGGTTAGAAGCATAAGCCTTTTGTTTAAGATAGATAGGATCTCCGACATTAGAATCATAAGGCTTTTGTTTAAGAATCGCTTAAGATGTTTTTCAGATTCCAAATTCCAATGAAACCACTTATGCCTACCAATTTGAAGATCCCCCTACAGAGGAACCAAATAAGCATGAGAAT